TCTTGGGCTATAATTTTGGCAGCTCTGGTTTTACTATTATATAAGAATACTTTCTTCTCGCTCCTCTCTTCAATCCTCCTAAGTGTTTCCACTGATATCCATTCTCTATGCTGATGTTCCTTTTTGTCTAAGACTTCTTCACATGTACTGGTCCAGGCATCTTTTATTTATCGGCACTGGTTGTCAATGGTTACATTTTTTATCTAGATGTTCCAGTGCTTGATATTTATTGCTAAGCATGATACAGAACATTTCTTTCTTTACCTGGTCTTTTAAAAATCCTACATTATAATGTGGTCTATAGTTTTGTATTGTCCTGTTTTCGTAATTTTAGCTTCAATTTTGCCATCAGTAGACGGTGATCTGAGGCCACATCAGCTCCTCTGTAAACTTTAACATCCTGTAAGGATCGTCTAAATGGTTGGTTAATGCAGAAGTGATCAATCTGATTCTGTGTTTGATGATTGGGGGTATCAATGTTGCTTTATAGATGTTCTTATGTGGAAAAATACTTCCTCCTATGATAAGTTGGTTAACTGCACAAAAGTTAGCAAACATTTCCCCATTTTCAGTCATAACTCCTAACCCATGCTTCCCCAAGGTCTCTTCATATCCTGTGTTGTCATCTCCTACTTCGGCATTAAAATTGCCCATAATTACGATGACATCTCTTGGTTTTGTCTCATCAGCCACATGCGGTAGTTTGTTATAAAATTATTTTTATTGATTCCTATTTATCATTTGTTGGTGCATAACACTGAATGACAAGCATATTAATTTTCCTGTTTATGGTCCTGAATGTTGCAAGGATATTTATTGGCCCTGCAGGTTCCCATGCTATAAGAACTTTATGTGCCTCTAGTGACAGCAAGAGTGCAACCCCCTCCGTATGTGGTGCATTTTCATCTTCAAGTTAGAGAAATGGTCAGAGGTAAACAGGATGAAGTTTAATAAAGAGAAATGCAAAGTGCTCCACTTAGGAAGGAACAATCAGTTCCATACATACAAGATGGAAAGTGACTGTCTAGGAAGGAGCATGGCGGAAAGGGATCTAGGGGTCATAGTGGACCACAAGTTGAATATGAGTCAACAGTGTGATGCTGTTGCAAAAAAAGCAAATATGATGCTAGGTTGTATCAACAGGTGTGTTGTAAGCAAAACTCGTGAAGTCATCCTGCCGCTCTACTCTGCACTAGTTAGGCCTCAGCTGGAGTACTGTGTCCAGTTCTGGGCACCACATTTCAAGAAAGATGTGGAGAAATTGGAAAGGGTACAGAGAAGAGCAACAAGAATGATTAAAGGTCTAGAGAACATGACCTATGAAGCCAGGCTTCATGAACTGGGCTTGTTTAGTTTGGAAAAAAGAAGATTAAGGGGGGACATGATAGCGGTTTTCAAATATCTAAAAGGGTGTCACAAGGAGGAAGGAGAAAATTTGTTCCTCTTGGTTTCTGAGGACAGGACAAGGAGTAATGGGCTTAAAGTGCAGCAGGGGAGGTTTAGATTGGACATTAGGAAAAAATTCCTAACTGTCAGGGTGGTCAAATATTGGAATAAATTGCCAAGGGAGGTGGTGGAATCTCCCTCTCTGGAGATATTTAAGAACAGGTTAGATAGACATCTGTCAGGGATGGTGTAGACAGAGCTTGATCCTGCCTTGAGGGCGGGGGGCTGGACTCGATGACCTCTCGAGGTCCCTTCCAGTCCTATTATTCTATGATTCTATGATTAATAAAGGAACTGTAAATAGACTGCATGAAAGAAAAGCAACAAAGAAAAACAATTATGAGATACCAAGCTGTTTTGAAATGAATATCCTCTCACAAGAAGAAGCTAGGAGGTGGAAGTACATTCAGAAAGAACCAGTCATCATTTTTAAGAACTTGGATATCCCAGTAAGGGCCTATGGAAGAATCTGATAGAAAAATGAAGTTTAGGTTACTTACCTGTAACCAGAGTTGTTCAGTATGGACTCTCCATATTCACAGTCATGGCATGCTATGACTGGTGAAAACCAAGTTAGCAATGCCCATTGGAGAACACACATACCTCCTGAGCAGATAAGAATATAAAAATTGAAGAATCTAAGTAGATCTCCTGAAGTTGAGATGTGTGTCCCTGTGGGTGTGCCACTCAGGTCTCGGTGCATCCTCGTGCTGCTGATTGGAGATTTTTACCTAGCATTGCCTCCCACACTGCTCATACACAGTTTCCGCCTCATGCTGTTTTTGTACAGCGCGACCCTCTCTTTTTTCCTTTTCTACTGGAAATCCAATAAAGGGCTCAAAGGAGAAGGGAGGGTGGCTCTGGAGTCCTTCAGATTGTTAATCTTTTTGTCTGCCTTTTTAAAAAACAGAGTTTCACCTGTGAAAGGTAGGTCCTGTATTATTTGCTGGGTCTCATAGGGAAAATGTGAGACCTGGAATCAAGAGCCCTGTCTCATGCCTACTCCTGTAGCTGTGACCATGTCTGCCTCATGAAGGGCTGCTTGCAGGGATGCCCTAGAGATCACGCTACCATCCTTCACCAAAGCTGAGGATTTAGCCCGGGAGTCTCAGGGGAGCAACTCAGTAAGTGTAAAACCTTAAAAACCAACAAATAGTGTAGTAGCACCATAAAGACTAACAAAACATATAGATGATATCATGAGCTTTTGTGAGCATAACCCACTTCTTCAGTCATCTGAAGAAGTGGGTTGTGCCCACGAAAGCTCATGATATCATCTATATGTCTTGTTAGTCTTTAAGATGCTACTAGACTATTTGTTGGTTTTTAAGGTTTTCCTGTTACAGACTAATTCAGCTACCCCTCTGAAGCTCAGTAAATGTAGTCATTGCCAAGCAGCTATTGTAGACATGTATGCTGCTGTTGGCCTATTGATTGGAGATGTGGAGTTGCAATCACCCCAAGATGTATAACTTCTGTCCAAATAGACACAATTCTTTTGCATTCCTATTCTTAGTCAAAGGATCCTGGAAAGCTTGGTTGACAATGTTGACCACCAGAGAGTCAGGTTGTGGGTGGGTGTATAAATGTTTGCAGCCCTTGAAGGGTATAAAGTACCACCATTCAACACACTTCATGGTAGGTGGCAGAGAGGCCCCAGGGTGCTGGTCATGTTCTTAATAGTTTTGGTAAGTGGTAATGCAATGCAGGAAGGACCTAAAGAGGTTAAGCTGTCCATAAGATCTGCCTCCTCAACAATTTCCTCTTCCTTAATATCCAGACCCTATGTAACCTAGCATAGCAATTGCTGCAGCATCCTGGAGTCATCCAAAGCTGAGGCAATGTGATTGGAAGTATCTATGCATAATAGAAGGCATGCAGAGTCCCAGGGACCTGAGAGTGGCTCTGTTGTTCAGCCTTTTGTCTATCTTTTCCAAGAAACAGAATTTCACCCTCAAAAGGTAGGCCTTGTATTACTTGTTGGACCACAAAGGAAAAACCATAGTGGTCATGTCTACCCCATGAAGGGCTGCTTGAAGGAATGCACTGCAAGTACCTCATCTGGGATAAATGAGGAGGAGTCTTAAGAAGAAGGTGATTTCTTCCTCCTGTCTGCCCCCAGAAGGATCTTGTGAACCTATGGGAGTAGCCATGTTTTACATATGGCACTCCCATTTGTTTATTTTTACAACCCCAGAATATTAGCTATTTTTACAACCACACTGCATTGTTTGTTCATTCATTCTGTGATCCACCAGATGCCTTTCTGAATTAATACCACCTCCAATGAAGGAAAAAATATGAGAAGAAAAAACAGTTTTCTGGGGGCGGGGAGGAGGGCAAGGTTAATAACATAAAGAAACGGGTAAAATTTCAATCAGAACTATAACAATAAGACTAACTAGACATATTTAGATTAAGACGATATTCTTAACAGATTGCTAATGGCTCCCTCTTTAGTTGGGGTAGTTGAGAAGGAACTGAGGAAGATTTGCCCACGTGCAATGGCTAACCTCTTGCCTCAGTAAGAACAGAGACAGCACATTTGAGTGCCCAGAAGATACTGCTACCGAAGTTCTCTGATCAGCAATACAGGGATGCAAGCACATCTACAGTGGAGCACCCACAAGTGCTTCCTGGAGATAGTTACTGCTTCTAATTCCAAAGCCATGAAATTGGAGGGCTTGGAATACAATTTGGAAATGGGGGGGAAACCCCCATGAATCCCAAACAGGCTACTGGATAGATGCAAACCCCACCTGGACTATTAGTCAACCAGTCAATGATACTCCTAAGAGCGGATCCATGGAAGAGTGGAAACATCTTGATGAAGAACAATGACAGTGATTGTGCTGACAAGAAATGTAGAACTGAACACCTGATTCAGAAGATGACTACTCTGCTTCTGTTGACCAAAGAAGTGCAGTTTCAAACAATGCTGCTGACTAGTGCTCCCACAGAAAAGCAAGCATTATAAGTTTTCCCTTCAGCAGTACTGAAGTACATAGGTATGTAAGGCTGACAACACCGCTCATTGATGTGATGCTGTTCATTTTCCTGTGCCTGCCAGCATGAGAATATTGACTCTTGTGCTGCTTGTGATACCAGCACCAACAGGGTTGGTATGTTCCTGGCAGTCACAAATGCTTTTGGCATGGTCAGTGTTGACATAGTGGTAAACTGAACAGAATAAGCTAGACTCAGTGACCCAGCCAAACAGATTTCTAAAACCCCACTAAATAGACACTGTGTCATTGGCAGCACGGCCGACCTTCTTTCCACCCATACAAGGTCCCGGGAAGAGAAAACTCTCAAATAAACTGGGACATTTAACTTTTATTTTGATTCCCCCAACCAAAGACATTCAAAAAACCCAACAAATCTTGCAAAACCTAAGGCATTAGGGCCTGTGCTGAAACCACCCCATGTAAATAATTGGGTTTAGTCTGATTCTGCTACGATCTGAGAGAAAACCTTTAGGGGATTCCTTTACAATAACCTTATCAAAAGACATAATTGTTGTACTACAAACGTTAAAAGGAAGCATTACTCACGGAGAATATGACCACATGAGGCATTTTCCTTTTCTGGGGCATTTGCAAACACAACCTCTAGCTGTATTTTTCTTACTATCATCATGTGGAAAGCCAAGAGAATGGCCCATTTCATGTGCAACAGTGGTTGCATCATAGAGCATGGATTTAGATCTTGCCTATATACAATTAAACAAGACACAAAGACAAGAAGTAGTTATGAATTACATAAGAACATAAGATCGGCCATACTGCGTCAGACCAAAGGTCCATCTAGTTCAGTATCCTGTCTGCTGATGGCAGGCAATACCAGATACCCCAGAGGAAGGGAACACAATAGGTAATTCTCACGTGATCCCTCTCCTGTCACCCATTTCCAGATAAACAGAGGCTAGGGACACCACTCCTACCCATCCTGGTCAATAGCCATTGATTGACCTAACCTCTATGAATCTATCTAGCTCTTTTTAAAACCCTGTTAAAGTCTTAGCCTTCATCACATCCTTTGGCAAGGAGGTCCAGAAGTTGACTGTGCTCTGAGTGAAAAAAACCTTCCTTTTCTTTGTTTTAAACCTGCTGCCTATTTGTTTCATTTGGTGACCTCTAGTTCTTATATTGTGGGAATAAGTAAATAACTTTTCCTTATTCACTTTTTCCATACCAGTCATGATTACATAGACCTCTATTATATCCCCCCTTGGTCTCCTCTTTTCTAAGCTGAAAAGTCCAAGTCCTTTAATTTCTCTTCAGATGGGACCCATTCTAAACCCCTAATCATTTCTGTTCCCTTTTCTGACCCTTTTCCAATGCCAAAATATATTTTTTGAGTTGAGGCAACCACATCTGTATGTGGTATTCAAGATATGGGTGTACCATGGCTTTATATAGAGGCAATAAGGGTACATCTAGACTACAGGCTTTTATCAACAGAGGCTTTGTCGACAGATACTGTTGACAAAGCCTCTGTCAATAAAGAGCGTCTAGACTACAGCCAGTTCTGTTGACAAAGCAAGCTGCTTTTTCAAAAGAGAGCATCTAGACTCTGTTGAAAAAGCAGTGTGGATGCAATAGTGTCTTTTGTTGACAGAACTCTGTCGACAAGAGGCATTATTCCTCATAGAATGAGGTTTACCACTGTCGACAAAACTGCCACGTTCTGCCAACTTACTGTCAACAGAACTCGGTGGTAGTGTAGAGGCAGGTATAGTTTTGTCGACAAAAGTCCACTTTTGTTGGCAAAACCCTGTAGTCTAGACACACCCTAAGATATTATCTGTCATATTCTTTATCCCTTTTTAAAAAATGATTCCTAATGTTGTATTTGCTTTCTTGACTGCCGCTGCAGAGTGAATGGATGTTTTCAGAGAACTAGCCACAATGTCTCGAAGATCTTTTTCCTGAGTAGTTGTAGCTTAATTAGTCCATCATATTGTATGTATATGAACATAAAAGCCTAATTTTAAGCGTTGTGATTGCATGAACAGACTGACTAAAATCATTTGCAAACACAAATCGACAACACTACAGAACTGCGGGAGAGAACTTTCAGAGTAAAGGAATTGTAATTTCTTCACAGTATCCTCTAAGATCTTTTAATATGGGGGGGGGAGAGAGGGAGAGGGAGAGGAAGAGAGAGAGGAGGGGGAGAGGAATGAACCAATCACAAATGATATGTCTAACTTTGCCAAGAACCTCAAGCCACAGAATTTTCTTACAAATTCCTACATCAAATCTATAACTTCCAATTATGCTAAATATTTTCTTTTATAAGGATATAAATTCCTGATTTAAACACTCCATGTAATGAAAAATATAACCTAACAATTAGTAAGCTCTTCTAATGGTTAGTTAACTTCACTGTATCTTATTTCCCATTCAAATTCATCCAGCTTCAGATTTCTGTTTTTGACAAGGTAAACAGATGGAACTTTTAAAATCTCTCCCCAGGAACAGTCTGCCATCTCCCAGGAACCTGCCAGTGTCCGGAGAAGGTGGGCACCTTCCTGGTCCAAGGAGATCATGGTCCTTATTCAGGTTTGGGGGGATGCCCCCAAAGTCCATGATCTCCGCATTAGACAGGGGAACGCGACCATCTATGGCAGGATAGCTGCCAGCCTGGCCACCAAACGCCACATGTGAACTCAGGAGCAAGTTCACATGAAAATGAAGTTGGTCCGGCGAGACCCCCCCAACCCTGAAATTCCCCTCCCCCTTCTTTCCCTTGCTTCCCCCTTCCAGATCCCTCCTCCCAGGTTTCCCCCTTCCCCTCCCCCTCCCCCTCCCCTCTCCCCCCTCCTTTCCCCAGTCTCACCAGAGTTTCATTCCCCACACACACTTTTATTAAACAAAGAGAGTTTGTGTTCATGAAAATACATATATTTTATTTGATATCAGGCAGGGGGGTTAAGGAGGGGTAAGTAGAAGGATGTGAGGGAGGAATGAGGCACAATCCCCCAGTGGGGCAGACCAGGAAGGCTCTTAGTGCTCCTTAGCGTGGAAACTCTCCCGCAGGGCCTCCTGGATACGGATAGCCCCCCGATGGACCTCTGGGATGGCAGTCTGCAGAAAGTGCAGCCAGGCTAGCAGCAACGTGTCCATGACAAGCAACAGAGTGCCCAGGGCCAGCTCTGGCTCCAAGTTGTAGAGTGCTGTGGTGTCCTGAGTGAGGGCATCCAGAGCACGCAGAGACAAAATGCTTTGCTATCCCTCATCGAGATAGGCAAGCAAGCAGGGAAACTTGAGAACCAGCTGTCCGGGGAGGGAGGGGGGGAAAGAGGGGAGGGTCCCTTTAAGCACAGGCCTCAGATAGCCTCAAGCAGCAGCCACACAAAGAAACTCCTGACCTGATGCCCTGCCAGACCTAGTTCCGGCCGGCCTTAAATGCAATTCAGCGTCCACTCAGTGTGGATACGCTATTTTGAAATTGCCAAATGCTGTTTCAAAATGCATTTTGTGTGTAGACACGTTATTTCGGAATATCTTATTGTGAAATAACTATTTTGAAATTAGATATTTCAAAATAACACTGTAGTGTAGACATACCCATAAGCACTATAGGCTCATAGGCTATGTCTACACTGCAGAGATATTTCGGGATACCTGAGGTATCCCAAAAAGAAAAGTTACTCTTGGTGCATTAACTGTTGTTCTTCAAGATGTGTCCCCCCATGGGTGCCCCACTGTAGGTGTCGGGCTCGTCCTGGTGCTGCAGATCGTAGACTTTTCCGTAGTGGTAATCAGCTGGACCGCGCATGCACGTGTGTGGTCTGGCTCTCGCCAATTCCTCAAATCTGCCCCGGAATCTGAAAGATACAAGAAAAAGACTCCAGAGCAGGGAGGAGGGCAGGTAGTGGAGCACCCACAGGGACACACCTCTCGATGAACGACAGTTACTGCACCAATGTGAGTAACTTCGCTTTCTTCTTTGAGTGATGTCCTCATGGGTGCTCCACTGTGGGTGACTGAGTAGCAGTACTCTGAAGACTGGAAGGAGGGTCTCAGAGTCACAATATCAATGTCAATGAGAGTACTGCTGATGCCAATGAAGCATCCGCAGTCAGTTGATGTTGAATGGCATAGTGTTTGATGAACAGTATCATGGGATGACCACGTGGCTGCACAGCAAGTATACCTAAGGGGAATGCCCTTCAAAAAGGCTGTTGAGGCTGCGACTGCTCCTGTTGAGTGCGCCTTCAGTTGAGCTGGGAGTGGTATATTACATACAAAGTAACATGTGGTGATACAAGATGAGATTAGTTTTGCAACTTGCTGAGAGGATATTGCTTCACCTTTGGAGTGCTCGGCTATTGAGACTATTAGTCGATCCGTCTTACAATCCCATCTTTAGTCCTGTCTATATAGAAAGCTAATGCCCTGCGAACATCGAGAGAATGAAACGCTGCTTCATGCGCTGAAGTGTGTGGTTTAGGATAGAAGGAAGGCAATTTGATTGGTTCATTGATGTGGAAGTCAAAGGAGACTTTAGGGATGAAGGCTGGGTGAGGTCTTAGTATTACCCCTTCCTGAGTAAAAACTGTATATAGTAGAACTGCCATCAGGGATGCCATTTCGCTAACTCTGCATGCAGATGTTATGGCAAGCAAGACAACCATTTTCAAGGTCAACATTTGAAGGTAAGTTATCGCCATAGGCTCAAATGGTGGTCAGGACAATATTCCAAGCACCAGATCTAAATCCCATAATGGGGGAAACAGGCCTCTGAGGGGGGTTGAGGTTTGTGACCCCCTTGAAGAACCGTTTAGTAAGAGGATGGGCAAACACCGAGGTGCCATCAATGGAATGCCTGAAAGCTGTAATTGCCGCAAGATGCACTTTTAGTGAAGCTAACACTAGGCTAGCTTGCTTTAGGTATAACAGATAGTCAAGGATTGAGTGCATGGGAGCTGTGTTCGGGTCCACGTGGTGCAGGAAACACCAGGATATGAATCTGTTCCTTTGGAAAGATAAGAAGATGGAGTGTTTTGTCTTCTGCTGTGAATTAATATTTCTTTGACCTGTATCGAGCAAAGGTCTTCGGATGAGCTGAGCCAGTTAGGAACGAGGCCGTGAGGTGTAAGGTGTGAGGCTGGGGGTGCAGGAGGCACGCTGGGCCTGCAGCAGGAGGACTGTGAGGTTAAGGAGGGGATATGGAGGGCACAAAGACATTTGTTGCAGAAACGGACACCAGTGTTGACAAACCCATGCGGGTGCCACTAGGATGAATTTGGTTCCTTCCATGTTGGCCTTCTCTAAAACTCTCGGTATGAGTACTGTGGGAGGAAAGACATAAAGGAGTGGTCCCTTCTAGTTAAGGAGGAAGGCATCACTGTGAGAGCCCAGGCCCGCTCCTGCTCTGGAGCAATAGTAACACTATTTCCTCTTGTGGAAAGTAGCAAAGAGGTTTATGTGGGGGAATCCCCAATGCTGGAATATACTGAGAAGGACGTTGCTGCGAAGCTCCCATTTGTGGTCTGGTGCAAAGTGCCTGCTGAGAAATTCAGCTGTAGCGTTGTTGATGCCTGGCAAGTATGAGGCTATGAGAGCGATGTTTCGAATGCACCAATTCCAGAGGCAAATTGCTTCTGCACAAAGGGAACAGGATCATGCACTGCCCTGACAATAGATATAATACATTATAACAATGTTGCCTGTAAGTACTTTGACCATTGTGTTGTGAATG